ACTTTGTACATGTAGCTAGGCGAGGCTTTTCCTTGGAAAGGGGCATCTTACTTAGAAGGACAGAGGATCAGTGAAATAGTGGAAGACACCTCTCCCCCCCAAGAAGGTGGATTGACAATGTGACTTCAACAATGGGTTTTACTGTGACAGAAATGATGAGGATGGCACAGAATAGGGCAGGGTTCAGAAGGTCAGCTGTTCATAGGGTCAAAATGAGTCATGCTTAACTCAATGGCACTTAACACAGCAACAACAACAAAGTGTTGTTTTTAAGTCATTCTTTTGAATGTTGTTATTAAGTACCATCCTGTGCTAACCTTACAATCTCTGACATACTTGAGCCCGTTGCCTCACTGTGTCAGTTCACTTAATTGAGGCTTTTCCTCTCCTTCAATGTCCCTCCACCTTTCCAAGCATGATGCCCCACTCCAAGGAATAACCTCTTCTAGCAACATGCCCAAAGTATGTGAGAGGGAGCTTTATCATCTTTGCCTCCAAGTAGCACTCTGGCTGCACCTTCTCAAAGACATATCTGTTCTTTTGGCAGTCCATGAGATACTCAGTAATCTTATCCAACACCACAGTTCAAAGACATACATTTTTCTTCTGTCATCCTTATTCCAGCTCTCAGATGCATAGCAAGTAACTGAAAAGACCATGATCTGAACCAGGCACACCTTAGTCCTCAAACTAACATTATGTCTCCTCAATAATTGGGAGAGATCCCTGCCTACAGACTTTCCCAGTGCACTATATCTCCTGATGCCCGGAATGGGTACCAAGAGTGTTAATTGTGGATGGAGGTAAGATGAAGTTGTTGACTGCTTTTCTCCATCATGATGTTTTGAGGATTTCTGTTTTCTTAATGTTGAGGTACAGTCCATATTGAAGGCTGCAGTGTTTGATCTTCTTCAGCAAGTGCTTCCAGTCCTCCTCACCTTCAGCAAGCAAGGTTGTATTATCTGCACACTGAAGGTTATTGATGAGTCTTCCTCCTATCCTGGTGCCACATTTTTCTTCATAGAGTCCAGCTTCTCAAATAATTTTCTCAGGATTGAGGCTCAATGTCAAGAAGGCAAAGATTCTCACCACTGGACTAGTTGGCAGCATCAGGATGGATGGTGAAGAAACAGATTGTTCACAGCTTTAGTCGGCTTGGCTCCACAGTCAGTACCCTTGGCACCAGTAGCAAGGAAATTAAAAGGCGCATTGCCATGGGAAAGTCTGCTGTTAGGGACCTTTCCAAAGTACTGAAGAACAATGGTGTCTCTCTGGAGACTAAGGTGTGTCTGATACAGGCAATGGACTTTGTAATCACTTGTTATGCATCAGAGAGTTGGACAATAACTAGGGAGGATAGAAGGAGAATTGATGCCTTTGAGCTTTGGTGTTGGAGAAGAGTATTGAGGGTACCATGGACTGCTAAGAAAACAAACAGATTCATCCTAGAGAGGGGTAAAAACTGGGCTGCTCCTTGGAGGCAAGGATTCTGAGGCTTCGTCTGACGTACTTTGGTCATGCTGTAAGGAGATACCGGTCGTTGGAGAAGGATATCATGCTTAGGAGAGTGGAGGGACGGTGCAAGAGGGGAAGGCCCTCTATGAGGTGGATTGATTCAGTGACTGGGGTAATCGGGATGGGTGTGTTGGAGACTGTGTGATTGGCACAGAACAGAGCAGAGTTTAGGACTGTTGTACATAGGGTTGCTATGAGTCACAAGCGACTCAACAGCACATAACAACAGCATATAGATTGAATAAGTATGAGAAAGGATACAATGCTTTTTTAATTTAAAACCATATAGTGTTCCCTTACTCTGTTCGGACAGCAGCCTTATGGTCTGCGTTTAGATTTTGCATGAGTGCAGCTAAGTGCATATGACTGCTCATATTGCGCTTCCCCAACAATTCCATTCACAGATGTAGTAATACCAATCCCACTGCCATCAAGTTGATTCAGATTTGTATGGACCCACTATTGGGTGTCGGACACTGTAAATCTTTATGGGAGGAGTGTGCCCCAGAGCGGCTAGTGGATTCATACAGCTCACCTTTGGTTTAGCTGTGAAACTAGTAACCCACCATACCACTGATCTCTTCTTGCAGTAAGTGCTCCTTAAAGAGTACAGAAAGAGTAAATCTGTTGATAAGTTTGCAGACTACTGTGGATTCATAATTTCAATATAAATATATTTTGTTTGAACACTGAGTCCAGGTCATTACAGGCAAATTACTAGGCACTGTTTTGTGCTTTAAGAGCCTTGGTGGCACAACAGTTAAAGAATTCACCTGCCAATTAGAAGGTTGCTGGTTCTAAGCCACCAGCCATTCATTCAGTGGGAGAGGCATTTGGTGTTGAGTCAAATCTGAGTCATGGTGCCTGAGGTTTCAAGTTTCCGAGGTTGGAAATCTTTATGGATGCAGACTGCCCGTTTTTCTCCCGTGGAACTGCAGCCCAGCACTTAGCCTGCTGGGTCACCAGGACTCTTCCCTTGGTGAGCGTCCATGAGCATTAGCTGTCCATGTAACCTAAAGGGGGAGCTACGACCTCATAAGCAGAATGCATAATCCCTTTTTTGAACAATAGAATATTATTTCCCAAACCTTTGCCCTTGTTCTGGGCCATTTAATCCATGCAGCAGTAGTTGTTTATGTTGACGTGTGAGTGGTGATGGCTTTACAGGACCAAAGCAGAGATTGTTTGCAATTCAGTGTATGTGGAGCTGCGGACTACTGGCCTTTATTACTCACCACTGATAATGAAGTAGCATCTGGCAGCTCGCTTCTGTGGTGGATAGACGTAGTTTTTAGGAAGATCATCTTGTTGCTGATCTAAGATCCACCTCCTTCGTCACTTCTTCTCATGTGTTCAGTTCTTACTGCAATGGAGTCTGGGGCCAACCCACTGGCTGTGCTGCTTTGTGGACATTTTCATCGTCTGCTATAATTGCTCTAGTTTTCTTGGACCCCCACCATGTCACATGGCTTCTAACCCTGGTTGCCGGGTGTCGTTCACTTGTTAGTTCTGCTCTCAAACGTGAAGGTCCTCAGTTAGTAACTGAGCATGCCCCACCTCATCTGTCGGCAGGAAGAGGGGGAAAGGTAAGGTCCAAACGCAGCATCTGCACCTGTGGCCTCGCCATACCTTTAATCGATTCTGCAGTATCAGCTTAGTCACCAGCAGCCTCATTCTCCTCAGATGCTGAGATTAGTCAACGCTCACAAGGGGTTGTTAACGAACTTTCTTCATAAAGTAATTCAGATAGGAATAGAATGAGGCTAGCATATTCTTGCTTTCGTGTGGAAAAAATTATGCCAGCCTTCTTGGTAAATATTAAATTAGTCATTTAATGTCAAAATCCAAAGAAAGAATTTTAAGATCACTTCAGTTGCACTGCAATTATTATCATTAACTTTGCCGACGCTGTTGGATGCTGACAGGCGGCAGCAACCCCATACAGTAGACGTGCCTCTTGGGGTTTTGCTAGCTCTAGTTTTTATGTAACCAGTTGTTCTTCTTTGTTGAGTAGCTGGTCAGATTTGAACCCCCAACCTTTCAGTAAGCATCTGAGCACTTAAACAATGTGCCACGAGTACTAACACTTTTGTGCAAAAATTTCTTCTAGTTAACAGATAAATTAGGTAGTTAACAAAAGCTGCTTATTCTAATTTACTTCATTATTTGTTTCAAAGCTTAATTTGTTACTAATTTTGCTGATTTCCTAATGTAGCAAAATTAATTCATTTTAATGTCTTAAAACAACGGAAAACAGTGGGCGTGAGCATGGTGAGACGGTGAGGATGGTGAGGATGGTGTGGGACGGAGTGAGTAGGCGCTCCATGTTGTTCACAGGGTTCCTCTGAGGAGTGGCTGACTTGGCCCAGCTGTAGGGGGCCACTACAGGTCAGTTCTTTTCTTGATGGAGTCCTTCCTAATAGTGCAGTCTGCACTTAAGGAGCTTGTCTGCTAACCAGAAGCTCAGCAGTTCACTTCTACCCACAGCATGCAGGAGGAGGATGATGCGGTCCGCTTCAGTGGAGATCACGACCTTGGAGCCCCTGTGGGGCAGCTCTGCTTTGTCCTCCAGGGTCACAGTGAGAAAGAATCCACTCAGCAGCGGTGGGCTTGCTGTTGGTTTTCTTTGCTAGAAAAATTAGAGTTGTTGTCAGTTTTAAACTAGATGGTGTATGTGGGCCTTTCTGGTTTTCAGTGAATTAACTTCTTTTTTTCTCTACATTATGGTTGTGAATATGGCCTCAGTGTGGTGTGGAAAATCTCTGTGTCTCACATTCAGAACCCTTTCCTGACCTCTTGGTTGTCAGCCACAATTTGAGCAAGGTCTGCTTGAGTCATATCTGCAACTATGACTCAAATTCACCCTCAAGAAGGTGAATATGAAGGTATTTATAATAAAGTTGATCAGTTCATTCACTTCTTTTTTGTTTGATTCTTTTGAATCTTAATTTGATGCTATATATTTTTCTAGTTGTACTAAAAAGTCCATACACCAAAACAGGCAACACCTATTGAAGCCAGTTCATTGACTTCATTGAGTTAAAGAGGACAAAGACGTTTGGATACCCAGAAAACACTATCAGAAGATAGTAAACACAATTTTGAAAGTGATTGACATTTTTAAAGAGCTTATAACACTTATTAGTACATTGCCGCAAATGACAGCAAATGTGTTTCTAAGCATGTTTAAAAAGTGTGCGGCAACATGTTAAGGAACTCTGGTGGCACAGTGTATTTGAGGATTGGGCTGCGAGTGGGAATGTCATCAGTTCAAAGCCATTAGCTGCTCTGAGGGAGAAAGATGAGCAGTCTGCTTCTGTAAAGATTACAGCCTTGGAAATCCCACAAGGTGACCTTGCTCTGTTGTGTGAATTGCTGTGAATTGGAATCCACTTGCTGACAGTGCTTTTAATTGGGTATTTTATATTTTCATAAAAAGTATCTGGTTATTATTGATCAGTTCTTTCTTTTATGCCCATGCCCAGGGAAGGAAAAATATGCAAGATGGCACAAGTGATGGTGAAATCCCCAGGTTTGACGGCACAGGCTACGACAAAGACTTGGTGGAGGCTCTCGAGAGGGATATCGTGTCCAGGAACCCAAGCATCCATTGGTTAGAATCCCTTCAGTCTTCTAGTGAAAAGAAGCTGACGGCTGGCCTGGTGTGACTCCTGTCTTATTAACCTCCTGCCCACCTGGCTCTGGTGTCCAGCCCACGAGTGTGCAGACTTGACAGGGCATTCTTCTGGGAACTTCCACTTGAGGAGTGTAAAGTGTTTAATTTGATGCTGGCATAATGGACAAAGGTTGGGAGTGGGACATCAGGTCCTACTTCATGACGTCAGCATATTCTCACCATTTTAGTCACTGAGGCTTAGAAGGATGTACTTAATGCTAGAATGAGCTCTTAAATTAAAAATTAAAATAAGAATTCTTACTGATTAGAAATCAAAGGTGTATCTGGATAATCATTGTGAAAACTTTGTTTTTGCAAAGGGATGACATAGCTGACTTGGAAGAAGCTAAGAAGTTACTCAGGGAAGCTGTTGTTCTTCCAATGTGGATGCCTGACTTTTTCAAAGGGATTCGCAGACCTTGGAAGGTGAGAATTTATTAAAATAATGTTGATATAAGAAAGCTCCAGCATAGTAGACAATATGATTGTCTGACTCAAGATATCCCATGCCAGTCTATCTCATTTCACCATTATCTAGTATGTCAGTATTTACTATGCATCAGAAAGCTGGACAAACACTAGGGATAATAGAAGGAGAATTGATGGCTTAGAGCTGTGGTGCTGGAGAAGAGTATTGAATACACCATGGACTGCTAGGAGAACAAACAGGTTTGTCCTGAAGAGAGTGAGACTAGGCTGCTCCTTGGAGGCAAGGATTCTGGACCTTCATCTGACATACTTTGGGCATGTTGCAAGGTGGGATCAATCCTTGGAGAGAGATGTCATGCTTGGGAGGGTGGAAGGACAGCACAAGAGAGGAAGACCCTCGATGAGATTGATTGAATCAGTGATGGGGGTAATGAGGGTAGGTGTGTCAGAGACAATAAGATTGGCACAGGATAGAGCAGGGTTTAGGACTGTTGTACATGGGTTCACTTTGAGTTGCTGGCAACTCGACAGCACATAACAACAAAAACAACAACAGAAAGCTGGTCAAAGAACCTGAATGATGTGCAGTAGTTTTCTCCGTTTGCAAAGATCCTTTGAGGCTCTATAGACCATCTGTCTGGATTGTCTGTGTAGACTTGGCCAGGCCTAAATCTCAGTATTATGTAATGATCCAATGTGTTGTAGGTCCTCACCTCTGTGATGTTAGTGAGGCAAAGGCGAGAGGCAGTTCTAGAGTGGTGCAATCCTCTCCTATGATCCAATCTAAGATGTGATCAACCACTCATCTGTAAAGGGATTAGGGTGGGATGCCACTCTCTTAACCAGGTCACTGTCCAAGTGGACGGATGGGAAGTTGCCTTGAGGTGTGACCTGCTTCACTTTCCATCTTGTAAGAGATGAAAGGAGAGAGACGTGAGCAGGGGTCCCAACTTCAGTATATAAAAAAAAGAAGAGCCTGGAGTGGAGTGCGTCCTTTGAGCCCAAGCCCCTGTGCTGAGAAATTCCTAGAACCAGGGGACACAGGGCGAGGAAGCCTTCTCCAAAGCTGGCACTCTGCATGTGGACTCTTAGCTTCCTAAACTGAGAAAGAATAAATTTGTGTTTTTTTAAAGCCACCCATTTGTGCTAATCTCTGTTATGGTAGTAAACTAAGAGGGAGCTCTGGTAGTGATTCAAAGGTAGTGTTCTCCTGTGCGACTTACAGGAAAACCTTCTGGAGAGTCTGTTCTGAGTTGTTCCTAACTCAACAGCAATAAGAAGCAAGTGAGAGAATGAGGACACCATCAACACCCAGACTTGCTTCTGTGGTTGAGGTGATCTCCCTTGTCCACTGTGGTGGAGAGAGGCATATGGAATTTGCAGTCATCTTCAGTGAAAGCCACTGCTCTCAAGGGTACTGAGCTAGATTCATGTTAACCATTTTCTAGATGTCAGCTTCTATAAATAAAAATGAAAAAGCAAGGTCACCATTAAGGAATCGTTAGCTGTTTGATCACAGTGTGGCTCATGTCTCAGGCAGAATCAGTGCTAGTTCCTGCCTGGCTGACTTCTGAGCCAGGTGTATGAAGCACCTCAGGTCAAGTTCTTCCCGAGTTGAGTTTCCATTCTCTGGTGGTAGATGTTCATGTCAGAGTCCTCTCAGTGCCTCTTAGCTGTCACGGCACTGTTTTCCTTTCTTTGGACTTAGAGTGCTTTCCAGCCAATCAATTCTAGTTCACAGTGACCTGCTGGACTTCACAGTAGAACTGAGCTTCTTGGGGTTTGTCCCAAGCTGCCTCCCCAGGTCCCTCGGCGGGCTCAATTTCTCACCTGTCAGTTAGCATCCCAGCACCAACCAGAGACTCTTTCCATGGACTGCCCACCACTACTGTTGAGTCCATTTTGACCTGAACCAGCCCTGTGTCAGGCGAAATAGGATTGACTCAGATGCTGTACACCACAGCGGGAGAGGGCTGTCCGTCTTCCTCCTGTGGAGTGGACAGTGGGGTCAAACAACCAGTCTTTCTGTTAGCAGCCTAATGTTTTGCCTGCTGCATCACAGAGCTCTGTCACTTGGACAGGTAGATGGAAATAAAAGTACAAACAAGTCCTCTGTGATTTGCTGGAAGATCTCTCCCTTCTCATCCCTCCTATCTCGGTGGATGCTCCTAAAAGCAGGGAGTAGACTGTGGATCTTGTGATTAGCTTGGAAAACCTATGCCATTTTGATGGTCTCTCACACCTTGAAACTTTTACAGACTATCTTTCTTATTTATATACTTACCTAATTTGGGGAACACATGATTATAAATTTCCCCTTACTGTGACTTTTAAAACTATTTAAAAGAATACACGATTTTAAAAGAGGCATTTAACGGAGTAGGTTTTTTTTTAAAAAAAAATCACATATTGTATTATTAAATATTTATGTTCTACCTTATATTTTAATGAGATGTGTTTATTATAATGACTGATGTTATAATTAAAAAACATTCATTTGCTCTAATAAGATGTATATATTATAAAATACCACAGAATAGGAATAATCTAATTTAACTGTGATATTTATAAACCTAATAATAAATGATTGGTCTTGTGGTGTAGTCTGTAGGGAGTTGTGCTCCTAACTCACAGTCTCTTTCTCTCAGCGGTTCAAATCCAACAGCAGCTCTTTAGGAGAAAGATGAGCAGTTTCCTCCCATGTGATACTTGGCCTGGGAGACACAGTGGAGGGTCTTTGCCACTCAGAGTTCACTTGACAACAATGAGTGAGTGGGTACATGACATTTTGTCTTCTCAGAAAATTAAGATTTTAGTGTCTCTCAGATTTGGTTTCTTTTTTAATAAGTTGCAGCTCTTCCTAGTTCATGACTTTATATTACAGTGAAGAAAACAAACATACCGAAAAGCTTAGTGCCCTGGGCAGCCAGTCCTCATGCCTGGCCATGGCTCCAGAGGCTGTGCGGTCACTCTGTCTTCCTTCTGGACTTGTCTGTCAGAGGAGTTTCCAGCATTTTTCACACAAGGAGGTCAAGTGGCATCATGGTTAGTTGCCCAGCTGCTACCCAAAAGGTCGGCAGTTTGAACCTGCAGCTGCTCCACAGGAAAAAGAATTAAGCAGTCTGCTTCCTTGAAGAGGCCTTGGCAACCCTGTGGGGCAGCTCCTCTGTCCCAGGGCCACTCTGAGTCAGAGTTGACCCAGTAACAGTAGATGTTTGTTTTTTTGGTGGTTGTTTTGTTGTAGTTTTTCTTTTTTTGTGTTTTTTTAACAATAAATGCTTTTGACCTGTGAAGTTAGAACCTTTCATATGTTATCTTACACCTGTGAAAAGGCACCATTAGAAGTAATTTTTAATGTTCAAATTCCTTAATTATGCAGAAATATTAGACTCCTCCACTTATTTACTATATTTTTTAAGATTAATGTGCCTATGTAAATAACGTGCACTTAGGAAATTGGTACACAAAGGGGTTGGACGATTTGCAGAAACCATATGTAATGCATACATTATTTGCATAAGAAATATCTAGAATTTTTGAGGTTGATAAAATTGAAAATGATGAACAGTGTCTTCAAGTTACCTCACTATAGCTTAGTATACAATCCAGTTGGCTCCTTCTCAACCTAATTGGGGCATCAGTATATTCAGAAATTCATTCCTGAGTTTAACCATGAAAAAAATCCAACTCTTTTAATGGGATCCTCACAGCGAAAAGGGGCTTTCGTAATCCTGATACAGATTTTGATGTCAGCTCCATGTTCGTTTCCCTTGAAGGAATTTTCTAGCAGGAAAAAGCCCCTGAACCAAACCAGTTGCTAAGTGGAGGCTAAGTAACGGCGCCCCCATGTGTTACAGAGTAGAACTGCACGCCATAGGTTTTCTTGGCTGCTGTCTTTACAGCGTGGTGGAGCAGGGCAGGGGAGTTCAGACGGGTTTGAACTGGTTTGAAACAGTCCAGGCCAGTCACCACCAACAGAAACATGGCAGTGCATGTGCTACAGAGCAACAAGCTCCCTTACATGGTGGATTTCAAGGTAACTCACAAACAAGCCACAGGACCCTACTCAGAGGTGGAGCTCAGCTGTGCCACTTTGATTGTGGCATCACTGCCATATCTTGCTCAGTCAGCGCCCAGGAAAGGGATATCATTCCTGTGCAATGCATATACCCACCCCCGCCCCCCTTGAGTCCACTGGCTCTGACTGGATGGATTTGAAATCTTTGGGTTAGTTGTCAAGTGTCCATTCATTAGCACCACACAGGGATCCCAGGATCATGGACCCAGCAAGGGCTTATTGACTGAAAGCCACTCACCTGAGATGTCATGGCAGCTGGCCACCTGGGGGTGGTAGGGGTACAAAAGCGCTGACCACGTGATCACACATGGTCACACCAGCATTTATAAACCTCCAGAACTTCAACAAGCCTTGTTTGCAGAAGTGTGCTTTCTCAAAAGAAGTCTATATCTAGCTGGGATTTTTAGTTTGTTTATTGTACTTCCCTCCTCTCCTCCACCTTCAGTTGTTCTTACTAAAATATAATCTGAATTTGTAAAAAGATGTCCTTTTTGCCAAAGAATGCAGGTGGCACAGTGGTTAAAGCACTCAGCTGCTAATCAAAAAGTTAGTGGTTCAAACCTACCAGCTACTCTTCAGGAGAAAGGTGTGGCTTCTTAGAACATCTACAGCCCCCAGACAGGTGTTCCCTCCAGGTTGACTGTGTGGAAGCCCCCATGACAGCAGTGCATTGATGCTAAAACTTGCTTTGTAATATTTACGACAAATTGGATTGAGGGAAAACTTTAGAAATTTATTTGTAAAATTTTTTTTCAGGTAATATGTGTATGTAGAACAAAATTTTAGAATGTATATAACTATTCTACTTTAAAAAAATAAAACTATGCTTGCTGTTTAGGGATTTTTTTTAAAGTAAAAAATTTGTGTAACTAAAGATTATTTACTATGTTGGATCAATCCATAGATTTTTTTTTTTGAGTGGGGGATTTCAGAAGCTAAAAGGTACCCATGCGATGATTCTATCAAATTTTCACTTTGATAGACAAGAAACTAGAGGCTTAAACAGGTTGTGAGAGTCTGTTAGTCCCTTTAGAACATAATTTTAGAAAATGAAAAATTCCGTTGTCTCAGGTTTGCATGTTTGTGTGTTTTCCCCCATGGCTATATACTTTCTCTTCCACAGTGTCTTATTCTTCACTCCCCCCTTCCATCTCAGATACTTATTTAGCCCCTGTGATGTGTAACATACAACACTCTGGTAGCATAGTGATTATGCACCTGATTGCTGAGAGGTCAGTAGTTCAAATCCACCAGCTCCTCTGCAGAAGAGAGATGAGGCATTCTGCTCCCATAAAGATTAAAGGACTCAGAAACCCTGTGAGGCAGTTCTGTGGGCTCACGTGACTCCATAGCAACAGATTTCATATAAGGTATACCTTGTTAATGTACTTGGAAATGGGCACGAGCTTTGAAGACCGGCCCCTGGGCTGCAAGGCATTCTAGATAAAGAGGTTGGAGGGAATTTTCAGCTCTGGATAGTAGAAGACTTGAAGGGTGACACAGAGCTATGGGTTCTCCCCCTCAGCAGGTGAGAGGGGCCTCACTCCCTGAACTGGGACGTACAGGATAGAGGGGTTTTCAGATGTGGGAAGGGATGTTTCAGGTGAAATGGGGGGCTTGAAAGGAATGGAGGATCTCAGCAGTTACATTGGGGTGGGAAAACATAAGTGTGTTAGTGAGGTAGATGCACTCAGAGTTTTGTAAGGAAGGCAGGATAAGGTTTTTATTAAAAGCGCTGACCTGGGTGTGAATTTTTGCTTGAATCACCTTAAGGACAGATAAGGCCCTGTGTGTTTTGAGTGAGAAGTGCATCCTTCTTCCTGTCCTTGTTCCCTCCCCCACCTCTTATCCTGCTGTGTCACCTTGGATTTGAGTAAAGTTAATAGAAAAGAAAAAGTCTGGGCACAGGGACCGGGACCGTTACTGCCCGATGTCCCTTGGCCTCCAGGAATTCTGGCTTGGCCTCAGGCTGGTGGCAAAGTGGTGCCTTCAGCCTGTGATCCTTCAAGGAGGTGGCAGAGGGGTGCAGGCAGAGTGCACCATGCTCGCTTTACTACCAATCTGTAGAACTGCCTTCGCATGTTTGGGGTCTGGGGCCAGTGGGCAGCAGTCCTGGGTCAGTGGGTGGGCATTTTCAGAGAGAGCGAGCATTTCTGTGATGGCAAGGCTACATACCCCGACCTGGTCAGCTCTGCCTGTGGTCAACCTGGAGACAGACATAGGACTGATGGCTGCTCTGGATGGGGAGCAGCCTCAGAGCACCTCTAAAATGACTCTGGAGCCCAAAGATTTGGTTGCTAAATTTCACATAACATCCGTTTTCACAGAACTTACCTAGCCAGGTTGATAAGTAAGGAGTGTGTGTGTAGTATTTAAAGCTGATAAATCACTGTACACATCTTTTGACATTTCAGGGTGTGCTGATGGTTGGACCACCAGGCACTGGTAAGACTATGCTAGCTAAGGCTGTTGCCACAGAGTGTGGGACAACGTTCTTCAACGTTTCCTCTTCTACACTGACGTCCAAGTACAGAGGCGAATCTGAGAAGTTAGTCCGTCTGTTATTTGAAATGGTGAGTTGTGGTGTATTCCATTTCACAGTATTGATTGTGTAGATTTTTTATACTCCTCATAACATGAGTCCATAAATCATTTTTAAAAAGGCCAATGAAATTATGTTTTAGTAGATCCTTATATGATAAGGAGACAGGGTAATTGGTGGGTCTTCAGTGTGTCTTCCTCTCTGAGGGGGGAAAGGATGTTCTTGTTTAATAAAGGTAGGAGAAAAGGTGTTGGCTGGGTGTGGTGACTTCTAGATCTTTGATGAGCTGGTTAGGAACTGTTAATTCAGCAGTGAACTAGTCAGCTCAAAGGTTGAATGTTTGAACCCAACCAGTGACTCTGTGGGATAAAAACCTGGTGTTCCTCTGCTGCCGTAAAGATCACAGCCAAGAAAATTCTTTGTGGCAAGTCTGCTGTGTCCCAGGAATCAGAATTCAGGGCTCACTGAATCGGAATAGACTCAGTGGCACCCAGCAACAGCCATAGGCTGGTTGAATGGAAGTATATATGTTGTATCATCAGAAATAAGTCTCACCTTCTAGTGTGTTCCTTTTCAAGAGGAATTTGCAATAATTCATTAGGAGTGCATGTTTGAGGATAGAGGTTGACCGTTCAGCTTTAATTTTTTTCTCTATAGAATTTTTAAAAAGTTGAACAGTGCAATAAAGCTCATGTAGCCGTCACCCAACTTCACCAGCTGTACAGTGTATTTTATTTTCAGAAAATGTCCCTTTTCTAATGTGAAAAGTTCATGTAAGCTCTGTGTGTAACCAGTGTTGGCATTAAAGCTGTGAGAAATTGATACTCTCCTTCCCCATTGTTGTAGAGGAGCAAATAGCATTTAAAATAATACTCTTGTTTGGTGAGTTCCCTTGTGACCTTTCTTTGTAATGTTTCTGCAAAGGCTCGGTTTTATGCCCCCACCACAATTTTCATTGACGAGATAGACTCTATCTGCAGCCGGAGAGGAACCTCTGATGAACACGAGGCAAGCCGAAGGGTGAAGTCGGAGCTGCTCATCCAGATGGATGGTAACTAAGATTTCAGTGTGTCCTCTTCTCTTTCTGGATTGTATGGGGGCTTATTCTTTGGAAACACTGAATGAATGGACTGAAGACAGCCTGCCCTGCACATATTTGCCAGTCACTTGTTCATCAGCCAGGTTTTTCACTTGTTCATGCATTTTTCAGATCACATTTCTTGCATATTTGCTATGACTCATGCACCATTTCCGATTTGATTTCTTGAGATTGACTTTATGGAAGAATGGACCATCACTGTTGTCAGGGAGCTTATCCTTTACAGCTTATTCGTGAGATTCTTAGGAGCTCTGGTGGCACAGTATGTACTGATTGGGCTGTTAAGTGAAAGGTCGAAGTGCAAACCCACCATCTGCTCTATGGAAGAAAGATAGCCAGTCTCTTGAAAAGACTTACAGCCTTTGTAAAACTCCGTGGAGAGTTTGGAGAGTGGCATTGAGCCAGAACCACCTGATGACTAGGGGTTGAGATTTTAGAGGTGTAGTCTAGGGCTCCAGGGGTCTGAGGTGCCTTTAAAGGGTTTAAAGATCCAAATTATTAGGAGTCTCAAGTCCTCATTTGACTTTTTTTCACTCTTCTTATATGTATCTATCTAGTTGTATAATTCAGTGCATAAATTAGTTGACAAAAGGAAAATAAATTAGTTGTATAATATAGTGGAGTTAATACCAAAGTCTGGGAGATGTGTATGATGGTGTAACAAATGGAATGCAGAAGGGGATATGGGAATACAGCTACTAAGTCAGACATTAATAAGATTTTTTTTTTAATATGTAAAATGGTGACACTCTTCTTGCTACTCTTGATTGTTTTGTTTTGTAAAGCAGTTATTTTTCATGAAAATGTAACTTTCATTAATAAGTGAAGGATTTGTTATTTTTATATGGTTAAAAGAGTTGGTCAGCTTTTATTCTTTTTTGTAAACTAAAAAGTGCATTATTTTTATTTTTAAAATGTATTGATAATTTAAAAATGTCTCAGCATTAATTTCTAGTGGTTAACCTCACCTGACATGTGCTACACAACTATAGTGCTCAGAGCTTTCTTTGATGTTGGAGATTATAGACGGGTCCTGAGACAGTGCTAGAAGTACTGATCAAAATGGGTGGCAGGCCACTGAACATTCTAGTAAGTGCTGGTTAGTTCTATGGTGGAGGTGAGCTCTGGGTGCAATGAATGCACAGTGGAGAGAAAAGTTAAGGTCCAGACAAGCCAGACAAGGGGGGTCGGGGAGGAGGAGGCAGCGTTAGGATTGAGAGCTTGATGGATAAGATCCAGGAGGAGGAAAGTGCTGGGTGTCATTGAATGAGTGTGAACAGCTTTCTAGAGACGGTCCTTTGGGAATTGTGTGGTAAACAGGAAGCTGTGTGAGCAACCATCAGAGACAGTGAAATGCGTCAGAAAATAGCCAGCATTTACTGCTTCAGAGCAGCCATGATTAGCATGAGGCATGAGTACTTATGAAATACTTAGCTGTGTGTCAAAGGAACCCTCCTGTTACAGTGGATTAAACAGTGAACTGCTATCCAAAAAGTAGATGGTGATGTGAGTCCAGTTTTACAGGAGAAAGACATGGCATTCTCCTTCTGTCAATATTGACAGCCTTGGAAACCCATGGGGACATTTCTAGTCTGTCCTACAGTTAGAAATGCTGTGAGTCTAATTGAGTCTACAACAGTGGACAGATGTGCTCTAAGATGTAAGATGCATAAAATAGTGTACCCTGAGCCTGTCCCCTTGGTGGGTCGACTGTTTTAACGTTGGTTAAAGTTTGAGAGGAAGGAGGGATTATGATCTGTTTTTGCATATGGCTATATGATGTTGGGTTTTATTGTGGGGCTTTTGGTGTTTTTTTAAAGTCACTGAATCCAAATTTAGTTGGCTGAATTTCACTGAGGGAGATTAGACAGTTTGATTCTTTTTGATGAAGAAAGTTTCATTCTGAACTGGGTTGTTTTAAGCTTATTATTTGTTGACACCAGGCTAGAAATTACTAGACACTGTAAGGTTTGGGAGATTTTGTTTGCTTGTTTCTTGTTTGTATGGAAGTGAAGTGGCTAAAAGGATTTACGTTTGAAAAACTTTGCAATAAGATAACATCTTAGCAAAGTTCTGTAACATTTTTCCTTTTCAATCACTGTGCTGAAATAGAGGTAACAAAACATTTCAGTCATTTTTATATTTAAGTTCAGTATCATTAACTAGTATTGACCGTGCTGAACAATCACCTATCTGCTTCCTAATTTTCCCATCACCCTCAAAAAACTCTCTGTACTTCATGAGCAATAGCAAACACTAGCTGAGTTGATCCTGACACATGACGATCCACCCCCTCAATCAGGTTTTTGAGCCTGTAGTCCTTTTGTTTTTTGGTTTTAAAAAAGTTTTAATTTTATATGGATTTACATGCAAAGTTTGTATACATTGTGTTTCACACTATTCTTCATTCCTATTGTGTTTTCCTGTAATCATTCTCATGCATTATGTTTTATAAAATCAATCTCCATTGGACCTTGCCCATCATGAGAGAGCCTGTAATTCTTAATGGGAGCTGACTGCTTCATCTTCTCCTTGGACTGGCTGCTGGGTTCCAACTGATGACCTTTAGCTTGGTAGTACAACACTTAGCCTACTGTTCCACCAAGATTCCTTAAGCAGCAATCTCTCTGCTTTCACTCATCAGTTTGTGAGTTTTTAATATACATAGATATACATATGTGTAAGCGCGCGCGCACACACACACACACACACACACACACACACACACACATTTACTGTGGATTTCTCTTACAAGACCTGAAGTTCTCAAGTTTTGGGTTGTTTTCATGGGAAAGTTTTAATTCTTGAAAACAAGATTTGATGCCCATAAAGTTTGTTTGGTTCTGGAAGGAAGTGGTGTTTTCAGCACTGGCTGATCATGAGGGTCATTCTTAGATTCTTTTACTTGTTTATTTTTTACAAACCAGTTATATCTTTGAAGGTCAAGCTGTTTTTCAAAATTATGATGACATGCTAGTCCATTAAATAAATGTGGATCCTCTCCTCTTTTCCTCTTCTGAGAAAATCTAGTAAATTAGACTACAGGAAGACAAAATGTTTTTGAAGAACTCTGTTTGAAAGAAAAAAAAGTAATAAGAGAAAGTAAAACAGAGCCTAGTCCCCCCACCTCTCCTTTTTTTACACTTTCTTCTCTTACAGAAAAAAAGAAAAATAAACTATAGAAAGTAGTTTTTCTAATAAGATTAAAATTTTAAGTAGGTTACGATAATTCTCCCACCTCTCTGTTTTGTTAGCTGTTAATTGGCCCCTCCCCCTCACACACATGCACACCCCCTCAGCTCCTTGGTCAAGGTCAGAAGGACAGCATCATTTTCATCATTGCATCCTACCATCATGCGCTGTGGTTGACACTTGGCAGTGTGGTTGAATGTTACACTGGACTCTGTAAAATGCTGTGTATCTTTCCTCTCAACTGTGTACAGGAGTTGGAGGAGCCTTAGAAAATGACGATCCGTCCAAAATGGTCATGGTATTGGCTGCTACTAATTTCCCATGGGACATTGACGAAGCTTTGCGAAGGAGATTAGAGAAAAGGATATATATACCTCTCCCAACAGGTAACAGATCCTTTCTTTTACTATACTCTGAATTTACTGTCTGTCCTGTTAACCTTTTTCTTATTTCTACATCTTAATTTTATTGTTCAATGTAGGGATGTTTATAGCATCACAAAACTGTTTGTAATGAATGGAAACTACTCAAGTACTCCATGCAGGTTCCTAATGTTTCAGAGGCATATGGATGCTGATAATGGGGTGGGTATCTTTGTAACCTAGTGCTGAGACACTTGCTATACCACAAGTGGGTGGCTTTAAGAAACAGAAATGTATTCTCTCACAGTGTAGGAGGCCAGAATTCCAGATTCAGGGACCAGCTCTAGGGGAAGGATTCCTCTTTGTCTGCCCTGGTTATTTTCTCCCTTCAGCGTCTGTGGACTGGTGTCCCTTGAAGATCTGATGAATGTGGCATGAGTTCTCCTCTGGCTTTGTGGCTCTGTGAGGTTTGTAGCACAGGGATCCTGAGTCTGAAGGACACACCTAACTCTCTACTTTTATTTTTTGCTGGTATTGAATTCTCTGCTCACTTATTTAATCTCTTTTATATCTCACAAGAAATGGACTCAAAATAGATCTTAATCCTGTAGTTTGCATTTTTCCTGATTAAGATAACTGCCACTAACTATACCTCACTAGAATCATAGAAGCGAGGATTCGCAACAGGTAGGATAATTACATCAAATCACAAAATAAAGGATGACTCCATAATACTGTGAATCATAGCCTGGCCAAATTGACACTATTTTGGGAGATTCTATTTTATCAAATCAAAATTGATCCTCAGCTGGCCCTCCAGCAGTTTATAAGAGGCAGTAAATCCCATGGGAAGAGATAGCTGGTGGATTTGAACCATGTACCTTTGTGCTGTTAGAACAATTCCTTACCACTAAGGATTTTTAAATTTTTACTTTTCAACTTGAAGAGTTTCTGTTCTTCTTTTAAACGATTACCAAAAAGGTTTTTATGAAGTGTTTTTCCAAATAGCATTTTACAAAATATAATTTCATTCTATAGGTGAATGTTGACATTTTCATAAGGATGTTTTTCTGTTTATATTATTTTTATAGTAACAATTATTTTAAAAATTAAGTTTAAAAGAATTTAAATTTTTTAAAAATTTAAATTTTAATAAGTTTGCAGAAAAAAGTCATTGACAAATAAGAAACAAGTATAAAGAAAGGCTTTAGTAAGAAAATAAATTTATTATCAAGTATAGAAATGAAGAAAAATTGTAACAGTGAAATGTACACATTTTAAATTTACAAATTGATGAATTTTGTCAAATGTCCACACTTTTGTCCACACATCTTAATCCCATAATTAAATGCCTAAGGGCGTTTGTATCATTGAAGAATGTTACCCTGTGTCTTAGTTCCCCATTTCCCCATTTCCTTATTATTCAGTCTTTCTCTTGATTTTTATCACCATAAATTAATTTTTTTCTGCTGCAAAACTTCATATGAAATCAGGACAGCCTATGTTCTTCTATATTTAGCTATTACACTCAACATAATGTTTTGCAGTTCATCCGCATGGTTACATGTACCAGTAGTTTCTTCTTCTTTGCTGTAACTTTTCTACTCAGAGGGAAAAAAACCCAACCCCAAAATTAACAACTCTGGACTAAAGATATAGAATTCATTTTTGTAGAACTCTATAGTTCTACAACTGTAGACAGACTGGCTTTTGAAGTTTATTCTAGTGGTTTTCTGTTGTCTTTCCTGGCCTTATTTAAAAAAAAATTTAAAAAAGTTAATCTAAGTTTACAGAGTCTTTG